CTATTTCTAATTAGACAAACTATATATATATGCATATAATTTTTACTGATTTTGACAAACTATTTCTAATTAGACAAACTATATATATATGCATATAATTTTTACTGATTTTGACAAACTATTTCTAATTAGACAAACTATATATATATGCATATAATTTTTACTGATTTTGACAAACTATTTCTAATTAGACAAACTATATATATATGCATATAATTTTTACTGATTTTGACAAACTATTTCTAATTAGACAAACTATATATATATGCATATAATTTTTACTGATTTTGACAAACTATTTCTAATTAGACAAACTATATATATATGCATATAATTTTTACTGATTTTGACAAACTATTTCTAATTAGACAAACTATATATATATGCATATAATTTTTACTGATTTTGACAAACTATTTCTAATTAGACAAACTATATATATATGCATATAATTTTTACTGATTTTGACAAACTATTTCTAATTAGACAAACTATATATATATGCATATAATTTTTACTGATTTTGACAAACTATTTCTAATTAGACAAACTATATATATATGCATATAATTTTTACTGATTTTGACAAACTATTTCTAATTAGACAAACTATATATATATGCATATAATTTTTACTGATTTTGACAAACTATTTCTAATTAGACAAACTATATATATATGCATATAATTTTTACTGATTTTGACAAACTATTTCTAATTAGAGCATATGATTTGGAAAAAATAAAAAAATAAAAAACTTGAACGATTGAATGGTAAAATTGATAATTTATGGATGAAATAGAAAAAAAAATGATAATAGTTGAAGAGATATAAATGAAAACAACCATAAAAATAATTAAAAAAACTTAAAAACACTAATTGATAATAATTGATAAATGTTGATAATAATTAAAAAATAAACAGTTTTATATATATATATATATATAGACAGATTTATTAATAACCATGAGACAAATCTGTTATATATAGACAGATTTCAGATTTATATACATATATATAGACAGATTTATTAATTAAAGTATGTTCTTAATTAAAGTATGTTATTAATAAACAGATTTATATACATATATATAGACAGATTTATTAATAACCATGAGACAAATCTGTTATATATAGACAGATTTCAGATTTATATACATATATATAGACAGATTTATTAATAACCATGAGACAAATCTGTTATATATAGACAGATTTCAGATTTATATACATATATATAGACAGATTTATTAATAACCATGAGACAAATCTGTTATATATAGACAGATTTCAGATTTATATACATATATATAGACAGATTTATTAATAACCATGAGACAAATCTGTTATATATAGACAGATTTCAGATTTATATACATATATATAGACAGATTTATTAATAACCATGAGACAAATCTGTTATATATAGACAGATTTCAGATTTATATACATATATATAGACAGATTTATTAATAACCATGAGACAAATCTGTTATATATAGACAGATTTCAGATTTATATACATATATATAGACAGATTTATTAATAACCATGAGACAAATCTGTTATATATAGACAGATTTCAGATTTATATACATATATATAGACAGATTTATTAATAACCATGAGACAAATCTGTTATATATAGACAGATTTCAGATTTATATACATATATATAGACAGATTTATTAATAACCATGAGACAAATCTGTTATATATAGACAGATTTCAGATTTATATACATATATATAGACAGATTTATTAATAACCATGAGACAAATCTGTTATATATAGACAGATTTCAGATTTATATACATATATATAGACAGATTTATTAATAACCATGAGACAAATCTGTTATATATAGACAGATTTCAGATTTATATACATATATATAGACAGATTTATTAATAACCATGAGACAAATCTGTTATATATAGACAGATTTCAGATTTATATACATATATATAGACAGATTTATTAATAACCATGAGACAAATCTGTTATATATAGACAGATTTCAGATTTATATACATATATATAGACAGATTTATTAATTAAAGTATGTTCTTAATTAAAGTATGTTATTAATAAACAGATTTATATATATATATATATATATAGACAGATTTATATATATATACACAGACCGAGAGAGAGAGAGAGAGAGAGAGAGAGAGAGAGAGAGAGAGAGCATACGCAGACGGAGAGGAGTCGTCGCCGGAGCACCACTCTTGTCGCCGGAGCCGTCGCCGCCGCTGTCTTCCTCGTAGGCCGTTTGGGGAATTTGGGGGTGAAGTTAGGGATTTGGGGAGGAGGAGCGACGGCAGAACAGGAAGAAGAAGGGCTTGGGTTTTTTTTTTGGACTTTTTGCGACGGTATGATGTAGACCGTCGCAAATAGAAGGCAAAACGGCGCCGTTTGTATTAATCCTTTTTTGCGACGGCAAATTTCCGTCGCAAATGATATATGCCGTCTCAAAAAAAAGGGTTTTCGCGACGGTTTTATTTACCGTCGCTAATACTTCCGCATTTCCGACCCCTCCGCTTGGTTTCATTACCGACGGGTCAGTACCGTCGCTAAAGGGTATTATTTGCGACAGGTGCAGTTACCGTCGCAAAAAACCTTTTTTTTGCGACGGGAGGCGCGGCGTCGCTAAAAATCCGTGGTTTTTGCTATATTTTCTTGTAGTGTTAGCTTCTTTTTTTTCCTTTTTTTTCCCCCTTTCTTTGGACTAAGAGGTTGTTTAGAATAATTTAAATACGTGTATTTTTTATTTTTTATATAAAAATAGAAATATGATGTGACTCAAATAAATTTATTTATCTAAATAAGTATATTTATTTAGAAGATATCAAACAAGCTCTTAACATTATACTATATTAACCTTGGACTGCCCAATTCTTTTTTTATTTTTAATTTTATTTTCCAAATTAAGGTAGATACATACAATCATACAATTAAGGGTTATTGTCCTTAATGTACAAGGTCTATGTGCTTACGAATATACTTTCCAAGGCTGTCCAAGAATTAATTGATGGATTGCCTTACAGCTTTCATTTGATGATCAGGACTGACAGCTAGCTCTGATACACCCCTCTCTCTCTCTCTCTCTCTCCTGTCACACATACTATACTTTAATCAAGACTATATTCATATTTAAATTAAGAAATCCTTCCCATTTGTAAGGTTGTATTTGACAATTAAATATACTCAATTATTTGACAATTTAAGGACTAAATTAATGTTTGCATCCTGAATAATGGGATATGTAATCCACTCTTCCCCATTGATGAATTATTAAGATTAATACTTCTTAATTATTATTAAAGGACCACGAGACGCTTTGCGATTGCACCACTTCTAGGTATTTTGTCTACGAATAAAATGTACAACATATGTAACCATACCTGAAAAGCTTGGACACTCACAAATAATTTATACAGTCTCTTAAATGAACCGCTAATTTTTAACTTTTATATCGAGTGGTATTAGATAGTGATGATTTTAGATATGAAAAGAAATTTATAAAAGAAAAGTAAAAGTGAATGGAAAAGTAACCAAAGAGAAAATTCAAAATATAAGTAACTTTGATTTATCATTTTGTTTTAAAGTAATAAAATAAAAAATCACCACATTTTTTAGTAGTATTTAAGCAATCTCTTACACATATTTTTTGATTTACCTTTCTTTGTTGTTGGCATGTCGACTTTATGAGAAAACGATGGAAAAAAAAGAGAAAAAAAACAGAAGAGAAAAGAAACAAATGATAAGCTCTTTTTGTGCAAATAAGATATACGTTGTATAATACTGTATTTGACTATAATTCACCATGTTTGTTTTTAATTTTTTGAAAACACTTTTTTCAAAATTTTATTTTTCATATTTTTTTTAATATTTTAAGTATTTTTTTTTAATTTTTGGACACACTTAATATAAATACATTTAAAAGTATAATTTTCGTGAAAAAAATCTTAAAAAAATTCACTAAATACTTAAAAATACAAAAATATAAAAAAAAATTAGTATATTTTTTGTATTTTTGTGTATTTAACAATTTTTTTTTTTAAAAAAATTCACAAATATTTTACTTTTTAGATACATCTAAGTAAGGTGCATCTAAAAAAATTTAAAAAAATGTTTAAAATTTTAAAAATTTTGATTAAAAACAAAAGAACGGGAAAAATAAAAAGACAGTTTTCAAAATATTGAATTCAGAAAACTGAAACCAAACACACTGATTAATTTTTAAAGTAAGATTTATCAATTTTAAACTAATACTTTATCTAGAGAAATGTTCTGACGTACAATACATGCCATATGCAAATTTATCATAAAATTACATAAATTTTATAAATTTATATAAGTGATCTCATAAAAATATATAAGTTAAATATAAATTCATATAAATTTGTAAAATCTTATGTAATTTTATGATAGGTATCTAATAATATGAAAATAATATCACACAACTACCTAATAATTTTTCGAAACAAACAAAATTCAAATTACCCATCAAACTACAGCATTCCATGTCAAAGTCAAATGGGTTTCATTAAAAATAAAATAAAATAAAATAAAAAATGACATGTGAAGATTAGGTTGTACACACAAACCAAATTCAGTGGACTAGAGAGAATTTTCTATGAAAGTGTGAAAACATCTTGAGACTTGGGGCGTCCAAACGACAACCTTGCTGTACAGCAGGCACCCCATTTCCTATACATTTTGGAATAAATGAGAAAAAGTGCAGTTGGATTTTGGAAATCTCACCACCTCTTCGAGAAAATTCAATCATATAAAAATGTCACAATAGCAACTCTCTTTGATCCCAAAAAACTTTTCAATTCATGATATCTAGTAAAAAGATTTTGACTCATATATGAGATTCTGTCGTTGGATTTAGATTCACGTCATCAAATAATTGTTTAATTGAAAAATAGTATCATCTTTTAAAATTTAAAAATTAATACACTCTAAATTATATCAAAATTTCAAAATACTAGAATCTGAAAATATGATTATGTGACTAAAAGTGCACTTGGTACATATGAATTTTGAATTACAAATTTTACGGAAAAAATGCAATTACAAATGAAATTATGGCATGTGTTACAAGCCAACACAATTTCTTGAGATGGTAACCCCACCATCCACAACAAGGTTATGACCACTTACGTACTTAGACTCGTCACTAGCAAGGTAAAGGGCAGCCTCTGCTATATCTCTAGCCCTTAGAGTTGGACCTTTCAAGGTAGCCAACCCTCTCACAAACTCCTCCATCTTCTCCACTTCTTGCTCACAAGGTGCACCAAAACTCATGCACTCATCATCACCATCACCACCACCATCTTCTTCATAACTAGTACTCCTCCATGCATTAACAAGCATTGTTGTTGCTACCCCAAAAGGCGAAATGCAATTGACCCTAATCCCATACCGCCCAAGTTCACAAGCCGAGTTCTTTGTCAGACCCACAATGGCATGCTTCGAAGCAGTGTACGCGTGTGGACCCAGTCCTCCCATGACTCCGGCTACACTAGCCGTCGATATTATGCATCCTCCTCCTCTAGGAATCATTGCACGCGCCGCGTGCTTCATTCCTAGGGCTACCCCTCGCACGTTCACACGCATGACACGATCAAATTCGTCCGTGTCCAAATCAACGATGCTCTTTCGCTTTGATTGGTTGCCGAGCACTCCTGCATTGTTGAAGAGGATGTCAAGCTGCCCATACCGAGAAATCGTTGAATTGATTAGGTTTTCAATGTCTTCTTCCGAGCTAACATCACAATGTACATAGGTCACTGAAGGAGACAATGAGTTGGCTAGTACAGTTCCAGGAGTGTCTTCAATGTCAGCAATGACTACCTTAGCTCCATGCCTAGCAAAGAGCCTCACTGTTGCTTCTCCGATCCCTTTAGCGCCACCGGTGACAATTGCAACCTTTCCCTCCAACCTAATATATGCAATAGCAAGAAAGAAAAGATTAGTGGAAAAATTAATGGCAATTAAGGCATACATTCTTCTAAAGAATGTTGCAAATTATCGAACTTAAATTGACACGGTAAAAAATTTTAAAACGCTACACATACAGAATTAGAACACAAAAAAATGCACCGTGTGAGTTGAGTTTTCGATGTATTTTTTTTGTATATGAATTCTGTATATCTAGCATTTTTAGATAATTTTAGCTATGAATATGAGAGAGATGTAAATGAGTAAATTACCTCTTGAAGGAGGGAGAAGGACTATTTTCCCTTCCTAAGCCATGAATTCCTTGGAAGGTTTGTTCAGGCATCACTTGAGCAGGCATGGTCAAACACACTAGAATAAAATACGGACACAAATGAGAGAGAGAGAGAGAGAGAGAGAGGCTAATAACTATAAGGCATGCTTATAGGTAAGTGAAGGTATTTATAGGGAAGTGATTCCGTCGGTGACCTGTTCTCCCTTTTAAAGCAACTTCGTGGAAAATGGTTGTCCCTCTCTTAACCTTCAACTACATTTCATATAGGTTAGGTATTCTTTGTATATCACAAAATTTTTTCTTTTTCTTTTTCTTTTTGTTTCAATACATTCTTATTCACATTATACAGTGTGAATTTCAGAACACTAAACTTTGAATGCATTGAATGAATTAAATACGGAGACTAAAAATTTAAAGACAAAAAAATCTAATATTAATATTATACGTGGATACATATCTCAATTTACCAAACCACCTTTTTTTTTTGTTTTTTTTTTTGTTTTTGTTTTTGTTTTTGTTTTTTTGGAGTAGGCCCCTTTGGAGGGTGTTGTTGGGCCTCCGCGAGCCCACCATGGAGCCCGCATTGATAATTCAAATCGTTCAATATGTAAGGCTTGCTAAATATTTAATCTTAATAAAAAATTATACTTAATCAGATTACATTTATGTGGCTCTAAATTACCTTCTATGTTTTCACCAAATCATGATACCATAGTCAAAACGTTGGTCTACTTTCCTTAATTATTAAAAATAAAAACTACCTTCTATGTTTTCACTAAATTATGATGAGTAATGTTAAAGATTCTAAAAGTTCTACCAAATATTTCACATGATGTGGGATATATGGGTCCCACACCCATGTGAGACATTTGGTAGAACTTTTAATAGAATTTTTGAAATCTCTAACGTTACTCAAATCATAATACCATAGTCAAAATGTTCTCATTAAATAATCATCTTTAAAATATTAAATGCATTTTTGAGATTACACCTTTTATTTTCTAGCATATAAAGCCTATTTGTAAGTTTCTCAGATCAAAATTCAGTGGCAGACAGAGAGGAGCGGATGGGGACATAGCCTCCCTATTTATGGGGGAAAAATTCATTAACTTGCACATATTTTTTAGTATTTATAAATAATAATAAAAAAATGGTATTTTGATCTTCATAAAGGCTATATAATCTCACTTTTGAATCTTTTAAAGTCTAAATAATATTGTCTGGCTTTCATAAAAATTATCATTTAGCCTCCTAAATTTCATATAATCTTACATTGGCCCATTTAAAATCTAAATAATTTTACCTCGACATCCTTTTTAATCAATATTTTAAGTCTAATCTAGTAATGTTAATTGTGTACTCACCATTTGAGTGTATGCCAATATTATATATATATATATATATATATATATATATATATATACTAGCATTTTTGTATAAATAAATAATCAAAAATTATTTTTTAATTAAAATAATAATATAAAATTTATTTAAAATATGTTGAGAAAAGATGGAGATGGCGAATGAGGAAGAGAAGGAAGATCAACAAGGTGGAGGCCTCCATTTTCATTGATTTGTTCATTTCCCTTTCTCTACACTCAAATCCCTTCTCTTCACTCAACTTCCAGAGCTCCAGTCAAAACGTTGGTCTACTTTTCCTTAATTATTAAAAATAAAAACTACCTTCTATGTTTTCACTAAATTATGATGAGTAATGCTAAAGATTCTAAAAGTTCTACCAAATGTTTCATATGTGGATCCCACACCCATGTGAGACATTTGGTAGAAGTTTTGATAGAATTTTTAAAATTTCTAACATTACTCAAATCATGATACCATAGTCAAAATGTTCTCATTAAATAATCGTCTTTAAAATATTAAATGCATTTTTGAGATTACACCTTTTATTTTCTAGCATATAAAGCCTATCTGTAAGTTTCTCAGATCAAAATTCAGTGGCAGACACAGAGGAGCGGATGGGGACATAGCCTCCCTATTTATGGGCGAAAAATTCATTAACTTGCACATATTTTTTAGTATTTATAAATAATAATAAAAAAATGATATTTTGTTCTTCATATAGCCTATATAATCTCACTTTTGAATCTTTTAAAGTCTAAATAATATTGTCTGGCTTTCATAAAAATTATCATTTAGCCTCCTAAATTTCATATAATCTTACATTGGCCCATTTAAAATCTAAATAATTTTACCTCGACATCCTTTTTAATCAATATTTTAAGTCTAATCTAGTAATGTTAATTGTGTACTCACCATTTGAGTGTATGCCAATATTATATATATATATATATATATACTAGCATATTAGTATAAATAAATAATCAAAAATTAGTTTTTTAATTAAAATAATAATATAAAATTTATTTAAAATATGTTGTGAAAGTGATTTATAATCAATTAAATTTTATTCATTTTTATTAGAGTTACACCAAGAGAAGATTTTTATTTTAATGTCATTAATTGTATTTTCTAAGTTCTTAATAAAAATCTGCATGTCATAATTTAATTGGTAAAATTTAAAGAATAAATTACAAAAATTTTATTTACAATAAAATATAAATACATTTCATTTCATAAGTTTTGTTATTTTAATTTACCATATGATAGTAATAAATTATATTTTTTTAATGTACTAATATTTTCTTGTTTTGTAAAACCTAAAAATTTGTTTACTTAAAATTGTTGTCATAACTCTTATGTGAAAATGGATTAGAATTGACTTGTGGTGTTAGACTAAACATTAGAAGTGACCCAAAAGCTAGTTGACTGAATATTTATGCCAATGTGACATTCACCTAGTCATTAAAAATTGTTTTGATTATTTAAAATTATCTTTATCTGTTTGTAACCGGTATGAGTTAGTTTGAGGGTTCCAATATTATATTAAATATTAAAATTGAGTCCAAAACATTTAGTTCGAGTCGATTTTTTTTTTTCCAACAATTCTTAGTTTGAGCCTATAAGACATCTTATTTTAATAACTTAATATAATAAAATAAAATAAAATAAAAACAATAATCATAATGTTTACGGTGCTTTTTGTCAATCAATAAAAAATATTTATAAATATTAAGAGAATTACATTTGAACAAATTCTAACATAAATTTGTTACTTTAAAACTCTAAGACCTACACATTTTGTTTGATTCTATCTACATCACTAATCTTTGGAGGTTTCATGATTTTTTTTAATGGGATGTCTGTTGCTATAATATAGATATATGGATTAGAATATTGATGCATATCAAATTATTAAACATTAAGAAAAAAAAATCTATGAAAGATGTAGATTAATTCCTTTATTTTAGTAGTATAAAAATTCAAATTTATATTTATATTTTAGTTAACTTCCCTTTCAATTTCTAAATTTAAATTTTTAAATAAATTAATTAAATTTCTTTTTGAAATGTGTAAATCAAGGCATAAAAGTTATTTAAATTTTTAAATACATTAACTAACTTTCTTTTTAAATTTAAATTTGTAAATGAATTAATTAACTTTCCTTTTAAAATGTGTAAATCAAGGAATAAAAGCTATTTAAATTTTTAAATAGATTAATTAACTTTCCTTTCAACTTTAAATTTTTAAATGAATTAATTAATTTTTAAATGAATTAATTAACTTTCCTCTTGAAATATGTAAATCAAGGCATAAAAGCTATTTAAATTTTTAAATAGATTGATTAACTTTCCTTTCAAATTTAAATTTTTAAATGAATTAATTAACTTTCCTCTTGAAATATATAAATCAAGGCATAAAAGCTATTTAAATTTTTAAACAGATTAATTAACTTTCCTTTTAAATGGATTAATTACTATTTTTTTGAATGATTCAATGAAAGTGAAACAATAGAAAAAAAATTAATTATTTAAAGAATAAGAATTCTAGAAAAATAATATGAGGGTTTTGAACTTCACAAGGTCTTCTCATTAAAAACTCCCTTGTACTTATATAATATATAGATAGATATAAATAGATAGATGTTATTTTATTTAAGCTCAACAAAAAGATATGGATATCCATGTCCCTATTTCTTCTCCCTCCACTCATGTGACTCAGTTTATTCAGAGGAGTTATGAACAATTATTTAAGCAGATGTAGGAGTAGTTTAACAATAATACTTCGTAACTCAAAAAAGATGTCCCGAAAGTGGCTCGAATACCCAAAACGACGTCATTTTGGGTTTTTTTTTTTTTTTCTTTTTCTTGCTTTTGAATACAAATAGAGGAAAGAGAAGAGGCGAGAGAGTAGGAGAAAAGATGGAGATGACAGTGATGGCAGAGAAGGAAGAAAAGGAAGATCGACGGGTTGGAGGCCTTCATTTTCATTGATTTGTTCATTTCCCTTTCTCTGCACTCTAATCCCTTCTCTATACTCAACTTCCAGAGCTCCTTTTTTTTTTAAATTTATTTTGCCCCAACTTCTGTTTCAGATTTGTTCATTGATTTGTTTTCTCTTGCTTCTGTTTCAGATTCTCAATTTTTTTTTACATTTTTTTTTTTTTTTTTATTTTTTGTGGTGATTGTTGGTTGTTGATGATGATGGGTGTTGTTATTGTTGATGATCTCTAGTGGATTTGGATCTGAAGATGAAGGAAAAAGAAAAGAAAAAAAAATTGTTGATGATGTTGACGAAGATGTTGTTGTTGATGATGATGATGTGTTGATGAAGATGTTGTTGTTGATGATGCCCAACTCCTCTTCTCTCTTTCTTGTCTCTCCTTCTTTTTCATCTTCTTCTTTTTCATCTTCAAAAAAATGAGAAAGAAAGAAAAAAAAAATCCAAAACGATGTCATTTTAGACTCGAGCCATTCAAGCCTTATTATTTTTGAGCTACCAATCGAAACTGCTCTCTAATAATACTTCGTAGCTCGAAAAAGTTGGCCCAAAAGTGGCTCGAATACCCAAAACGACATCATTTTGGGTTTTTTTTTTTTCTTGCTTTTGAATACAAACAAAGGAAAAAGAAAAGACAAGAGAGAGAGAAGAGAGAAGAGGCAAGAGAGAAGGAGAAAAGATGGAGATGGCGGTGATGGCAGAGGAGTAAGAGAAGGAAGATTGACAGTGTGGAGGCCATCCATTTTTATTGATTTGTTTATTTCCCTTTCTCTGCACTCAAATCCCTTC